GAGGAGGGGCCTGGCTTCTTCGTTTACACGCCGGGCGGCGACCTCTATGTGGAGAGCCTCTCGGACTACAGCAGCAGCGCCCTGCTCACAGGGCGTAAGGGCTACCCTGCCGGCGTGCCTCAGGTGGTGGCCTTCAGCAGGCCGCTGGAGCCCGAGGAAGTGGTGGAGCTGGTCAAGCGCGCGCGGAGGCGGCGGTGCTGGAGGGGGCCGTGGCGGAGGACATCACGGAGGCCGTGGACTGGCGTGGCCGGCGGCTGCCGCTGCCGCCGCACTCGGTGGTGCACGCGCCGCGCGTCCGCCTGCGTGGGAAGCAGGAGCCCGCGGCGCTCCCGCTGCCGCCGCCTGCCGAGCCGCCGCCCGTGGGCGGCGCCGCCACCCCCCCCTCGGCCCCCGAGGGTTTCGCTTGGCTGAGCAGCGACCTGGCCGCGCCCCCGGGAGAGTTCGCCTTCGGCACCGAGGTGCTCCTGGGCTCGGACTCCTGCAGGCGGGGGCGCTTCGCTATCGTCACGGACGCCTCTGGGAACCACCACCCCGTGGAGCTGGTGGAGATCAGCGGCGCTGGCGAGCGGCGGGGGGCGAAGCTGCGCGGTGCGGCCCGCAACCGCGGAGGCGAGGGTGCTCTGGAGCGGCGCCTGCTTGGTGACAGCCCTCCTCCTGATGGCCCGGCGGCTCTCGGCCGCTCGCCGCCCCTTGGACAGGAGGGCCCGGGCGACGATCTTCGTGCGTGCTGGATCGACTACGACGACGCTGGGATCCGTTTCAAGGAGTGGCGCAAGGTCCTGCACGAGGCGACCCAGGAGAGCCTGCAGACCGCTGGCCTCAAGGGGCCCCCAGTGTGCCTCGCCATCTGTAGGAAGTTCTTCAAGCGCGGCGGGGATCCGAAGGCGTGGTTCGCCGAGTGGGCCCGCGAGGTGGGCATCGCCAGGAAGGACAGGTCCTGGCACGAGGTCGAGTGCCTGATCGAGGCACTGTGGCAGGCGGGCACCTTCGACCAACTCAACATGGGCGCCGTCGCGGCGCTGGAGGTGGTGCCCCGCCGGCTGCTGCAGTGCGTGGAGGCGTGTGCGAAGGGCGCCGACAACCCAACTGGAGCGCGGCGAAGCACTTCAGCGCGACCACCTCGGCCCTGGACTTGGTGCCCGAGGACGCGCGCATGTAGGCAGCGCGGCGGGCCAAGGAGGAGGCGGAGCTGGAGAGCCTGCGCGCCCGCGCCCGGCAGCCCGGCGCCGCGGCCCATGCTGGGGCCGCGGCGACGGCGGCGGCGACGCTGGCGGGCGCGCTCCCCTGGCAGGTCGACGGAGATGCTGCTGGAGGAGCCGAAGGTCGAGGTCGGGGACGCGGTAGAGGCGGCCGTGGGCGTGGCTCGCGGCCGCCGGCAACATGACGCTGTTACCAGAGGGCGACGACGGCCCGATCGTCGCCCGAGGACCCCGCAGGGCGTGCGCGTTCTTGCCGTTGCCCCCGCTGCGAGCCGTGGGCCTCCCCCCGGAGGTGGCGGGCGGGCGGCGCCGGCGGCTGCTTCGTGACATCGAGGCGGCGATCGACGCGCTGAATTGGATGCGTGGTAGCGCCTACCGCCCGACCCCCCACAGGATCTCATCGGCGACCGAGCGCAAGATTTTGGGCCTTCAGGCTGATGTGCGGCAGCGCGTTGTTGAAGCGGCAGCCCGCTGGAGCGACGTTGACAGCGCCGTCAGCGAGCGTGGAGCCTTGGCCAGGCTCTTGAAGGGGCGCTCAGGCTATACGCCGTCGCCTTCATGCAGTGTCGGGTCCTACGAGTACTCGAAGGTTTCGCTCCCGGGCGACTTGCACAATGCGCCGTCGCTCATCTCCATGTTGCTTTCGGAGGCGAGGATGCAGCTCGAGGATTTCGAGAAGCATATGCTCCGACCCGCGCAGGAGTCGGAATTAATTCGATGCATGAAGGGGTGCCGGGCTGCCATGCCGACCCCGGGCTGCAGAAGAATCCCCGCGCCTACGGCCGCCTTGTGCGGAGGGCCGCGGACATCGGCCTGGTGATATTCACTCGTGATCCCGCCTGCGTTCTGGGCGTGTTCTTTGTCACCAAGAAGGCCGACAAGCTCAGGTTGATTGTGGATTGTCGTCGTGCCAACCAACTGTTCCACAAGCCCCCTGGCGTCGCCCTCCTGAGCGGCGAGGGGCTGGCCAGGGTGGAGATCGACGACTCCGAGGGCTTGCTGGATGGGCTCCCTTTGCACCTGGGGGTCGGAGACGTGGCCGATTGTTTCCACAGGATGAGGTTGACGAAGACTGCGGGCGGCGACATCCGCCGCTACTTCTGCTGGCCACCGTTGGCGGCACGGCATGCAGGCCTCACCGAGCTCGACGGCGTCCCGCTGGAGCCAGGCCAGAAGATCTGGCCGATGTGCGCCAGCCTACTGATGGGTTTTTCGTGGTCGCTGCATTTTGCCCAGACCGCTAACTCAGTTCGTCTGGGACGTCAGCCTTCGCTGGTCCGAAGCCAGGAGCTCTCGGACCGCGGGCCCTCCCTGGTGTTCGGCGGCTCCCGCGTCATGGAGCAGGCCGGCCACTGCATGTACGTGGACAACGCTGGCGTCATGTCCTTCGACGGCGGTCTGGTTCGACAGGCTCTCGCCGAGGCTCAGCGGGACTTCGACCACGACGCGCTGCGCTTCCACGAGATGGAGGTCCTTGAGCACGGTGGGAGTTCGCTGGGGTGGCACCTGGACGGCGACAGCCGGCTGGCCCGCCCCGGCAGTCGGCGCTTCGGTTTGGTGCGGCAGGGCGTGCGCGCTCTGCTGCGGCTCAAGAAGATCGCCGGCTGGCAGCTGGAGGCGGTCCTGGGCCACATCACCTTCCTGTGTCTCATGCGGCGCGAGCTCCTCTCGATCTTCCACGTCGTGTACCGCTTCGTGCGGGAGTCCTGCGGCAAGTTCCAGCCGCTGTGGGCCTCTGCCCGAGAGGAGCTCGTGGCCTTCGTGGGGGCGATGGTCTTCATCGAGGCCGACTGGGGGCAGCCCTGGGCGCCCTACGTTTACGCTAGCGACGCCAGCCTCCACGGCTTCGGGGTGTCGCAGTCCCTGTGGTCGACCGCGGACGTCGCAGCTGTTGGGCGCGTGCCCGAGGTCAGCCGCTATCGCCTGGGCGGCGCCCGCGCCCGTGAGCACGCCTTCGAGGTGGCTGGCTTCAGGGTCGACCCAGAGAGCGGCGAGGTGGAGCGCGACTTCTTGGGGCGGCCCGTGCGGCTCGACAGGGGGGCGCGCGAGATCTTGGAGGCTGCGCGCTGGGAGCGCAATGGTGACTTCCCCGAGGTGCCCAGCAGCCTGCTGGCGAAGGATCGCTGGCACACCATCCTTGCTGATCGCTGGCTCCACGCTGATGACATCTTGCGCCTGGAGGCCCGGGCGGTCGTCAAAGCGGGGGCCCGCGCACTTCGCATTCGTTCGGTGAAAAACTGTCGAGTGCTCTTGCTCGGTGACAATCTTGCCATCACTCTTTGTTTTGCTCGGGGTAGGTCGAGGGGCTACAGGGTGCTTGGGCAATTAAGGCGACTTTTCAGTTTATCTCTTGCTCGCAATGTCCGCCTGTATTTCCGTTGGGTTCCCAGCGAGTTTAACTCGGGCGACGAAGGTAGCAGAGTTTTCGATGCGTCTTACAATGCCGACAAGACTCTCGTTTCCCACTTGGGGCCCCTGATTGAGGGCCCAGGGGCGCATCTCGAGGGCGAGGGAGGCCCCAGTGACGTTGATCAGTGCCTCACCCCTCCTCGTCCTCCCCTTAGTAGACATGTTGGCTCCAACCAATTGCCGACCTCAGAAGCGACGCAACGTAGTGATGTCAGACCGCCCTCCAGCCAGGGCGCGAGGGCCGTCGGCCCCTACGCGCAGGCGCTGCTGGACTGCCTCGGGGGCCAGACAGACGACGGAGGTGGCACTGGCTCGCACCCGCGTCTTGACTCTGGAGCGGGCCCTGAGCGACCGCCTGTTGGTGCGCTCGGAGGCGTCGAGTCCGAGGGGGCACGCCGGCGTCGAGGAGAGCACCGAGACCTTTCTGGCGCGGTGCGCGGAGGAGCTCCCAGCGGGCCTGGGGCCAGGCCCGCGGGCCGACGCGCCCGCCCGCGGGGGTGCCGAGGCCGCGGGCGCCAGCGAGCAGAGCGACGACTCCTCGGGCCCCGAGGAGAGGGCGGCCGCCGCGGCGCGACGGCGCTGCCTGAGCCTGCGCGGGAAGGGCCACGTGCGTCAGGCCCTCGCCGCGCTGCTGGACGGCGGGCCGCTCTCATCCCGCCTCGCGCCGCTGGAGGCGAGGTCGGTTGCGCCGGCGGCTGCTGCCCAGTACCGCCAGCGCGTCCAAGAGTTCTTGAGCTGGCACCACTCCTCGGACGCGATCCTGGACCACCCCGCGGAGCTCGACGCCGCCCTGGTGTTCTTCATGAACCGCGAGTTCGAGAGCGGGCACAAGAGTTGGAGGGGAGAGAAGCTTCTGGCGGGCGTGATCTTCCATCGACCTCAGTACGGGCGGCATGGAGCGGACCACCTTCCTCGCTCTCTCCGGGCTCTGAAGGGATGGTGCAAGGCGTCGCCATCTCACTCGAGGCGGCCCATGACGATCGGGATGTGGGCCGCGATCTGCGTGGAGATGGCCCGCATGGGATATCTCCTGGCCGCCGCCCTGTCGCTGGTGATGGTGGAGTGCTGCCTGCGGCCGGGGGAGATGCCGGGCCTCGCGCCGAGGTCCTTCCTGCCGCCGGCCCCCAGCGGGGTGACGAGCTGGGTGCTGCTGCTGTTCCCCCAGGAGGGGAACCTGAGGAGCAAGACAGGGGAGAGCGACGACAGCATCCCCCTCGACTCCCGCAGGTTCGTCTGGATGGACAGCGTGTGCCGCGTGCTCTCCCGCCGTCGTGGATCGGACCGCCTCCTGGGCTGGACCTACCGCGAGTACGTGTCGGTCTTCAGGAGGGCTTGCGCGCGCCTGGGCTGGGCGGTGGTGCCGTGCCAGGGCCGACGCGCAGGGGCCAGTGCGGACCGCGCGGAGGGCCTGCGGACCCAGGAGCAGGTGATGAAGCGGGGCCGCTGGCAGGCCCTGAGGAGCGTCCGCCGCTACGAGAAGGCGGGGCGCGTGAATCAGGCGTGGAACGAGCTCAGTCGCGAGGGTCAGGACCACGTGGCAGTCTGCCTGCGGTCCCTGGAGGGCATCTTCCTGCAGGGCGCCGCCTCGCCGCTGCCGCCGCGGGCGCGTGGGGGGCGCTGTGAACTTCCGTGTTTGCGAAAGGTTTTGGATTTCAAGCCTCAGCCTTCCTAGCATATGCATCCAGCCGGCCTCTGCCATCAGACGTTCTCCGCAGAAAAACGAGTTGCATGTCTCTGCGTCGCAGGTGTTTGCTAACAGGTTGTCGTCTGTCGCCGTAGTGTTGCTCAAGCTACCCCCCCGACCTCGCCCGCCTGAGCACTCCCGCTGGGAGTCGGATTTCAAGCCTCAGCCTTCCTAGCATATGCATCCAGCCGGCCTCTGCCATCAAACGTTCTCCGCAGAAAAACGAGTAGCAGTCGTCTTCTTTGTCGTCGTCCGTTGTGGTCGGGATCGTTGTGGTCGTCGTCGTCGTCGCCGTCTTCGTCGTCGTCGTCATCGGCTGTCGTCGTCATCGTGGTCGTCGTCGTCGTCGTCGGTCGTTGTGGTCGTGGTCGCAGTCGTTGTGGTCGTGGTCGTGGTCGTCTTCGTCGTCATCGTCGTCGTCGTGGTCGTGGTCGTCGTCTTCGTCGTCGTCGTTGTCGTCCGTCGTCGTCGTCATCGTCGCCGTCGTCGTCGTCGTCGTCGTGGTCGTGGTTGTTGTTTTGGTCGTGGTCGTGGACGTAGTCGTGGGCGTGGGCGTGGTCGTTGTCATCGTCTTTGTCGTCGTCGTCCGTCGTGGACGTGGTCGTGGTCGTGGTCGTGGTCGTGGCCGTGATCGTGGTCGTGGTCGTGGTCGTCGTCGTCGTCGTCGTCGTTGTCGTGGTCGTGGTCGTGGTCGTGGTCGTCGTCGTCGTCGTCGTCGCCGTCGACGGTCGTCGTCGTTGTCGTCGTCGTTGTGGTCGTCATCGCCCGTCGTCGTCGTCGTCGCCGTCGTCGTCGTCGCCGTCGTCCGTCGTCTTGGTCGTGGTCGTGGTCGTGGTCGTGGTCGTCGTCGTCGATGTCCGATGTGGTGGTCGAGGTCGTGGTCGTGGTGGTGGTCCTGGGCGTTGTCCTGGTCGTGGTCGTGGTCGTCTTCGTCTTCGTCGTCGTCGTCCGTTGTGGTCGTGGTCGTTGTGGTCGTCGTCGTCGTCGTCGTCTTCGTCGTCCTCGTCATCGTCCGTCGTCGTCGTCGTGGTCGTCGTCGTCTATCGTGGTGGTCGTGGTTGCGGTCGTGGTCGTGGTCGTGGTCGTGGTCGTGGTCGTGGTCGTGGTCGTGGTCGTGGTCGTGGTCGTCGTCGTCGTCGTCGTCGTCGTCGTCGTGGTCGTGGTCGTGGTTGTCGTTGTCGTCGTCGTGGTCGTCGCCGTCGACGGTCGTCGTCGTCGTCGTCTTCGTCGTGGTCGTCATCGCCCGTCGTCGTCGTTGTCGTCGTCGCCGTCGTCCGTCGTCCTGGTCGTGGTCGTGGTCGTAGTCGTGGTCGTGGTTGTCGTCGTCGGTGTCAGTCGTGGTGGTCGAGGTCGTGGTCGTGGTCGTGGTCGTGGTCGCGGGTGTTGTCGTGGTCGTGGTCGTGGTCGTCGTCGTCTTTGTCGTCGTCGGCCGTCGTGGTCGTGGTCGTTGTGGTCGTCGTCGTCGTCATCGTCGTCTTCGTCGTCCTCGTCATCGTCCGTCGTCGTCGTCGTGGTCGTCGTCGTCTGTCGTGGTGGTCGTGGTTGCAGTCGTGGTCGTGGTCGTGGTCGTGGTCGTCTTCGTCGTCGTCGTCGTCGTCGTGGTCGTCGTCGTCGTCGTCGTCGTCGTCGTGGTCGTGGTTGTGGTCGTGGTCGTAGTCGTGGTCGCGGTCGCGGTCGTGGTCGTGGTCGTCGTCGTCGTCGTCGTCGTGGTCGTGGTCGTGGTCGTCGTTGTGGTCGTTGTCGTGGCCGTGGTCCTGGCCGTGGTCGTGGTCGTGGTCGTGGTCGTGGTCGTGTTCGTGGTGGTCGTCGTCGTCGTCGTCGTCGTCGTCGTCGTCGTCGTCGACGTTGTCGTGGTCGTCGTCGTCGTCGTCGTCGTGTTCATCGTCGTCGTCGTCGGCCGCGGCCGCGGCGGCGTCCACCCGCCCGCTCGCCTGTTGCCTGACGCCGCGCGCCCCCCGCGGCCGCCCGAGAGGAGCAGAACACGGTCATCCGCAACGCCGGCCGGGCGCCCGCGCGCGCCCCCGCCCGCTTGTTCTCGCAGGAGAGATGCAGGCCTGGGGTGTCAACGGTGCTCGTCCGTCGTTGAAAGGAGGTATTTTTGGATGCCCAGGTCGCAGTCTACTTTAGGCGCCTTCCTACTTTGAGGGTCGAGTGGCGTTCCCTCTTCCCTCTTCAGGGGGCGGGCGGAAGCCCAATCTGCTTCCCACGCCTTCATACTTCATGTTTCTACCTACTTCTTCCGACCGACGGGTAAGGATCGGCGGCGAGCGAGGGGGGACGTGAGAAGGAGAAGGCCTTCTCAGAAGGCGGCGAGATTTCTCGGAAGCCCTCGCGCCTTTGAGAGGTTTTCTGTGTCTTCGGGGGAGGCTGAGAAAGCTTCTCAGAATGCCAGGGGACTTCCGAGCCGTCTGAGCAGGCCTTCTCTTTCTCACTTCCCCCCTGGGCTCGCCGCCGAAAGGAGGGGATAGGCTCGACGGTCCGAGGTTCGAGGTTTTCGGGCGTTCTCGTGGGTTCTCGGCGGCTTTCCAGCCTCGGGGTGCTTTCCAGCGGCTGCGCCTCGCTGCGGGCGTTCCGGGGTTGCCAGAATCGTCCCGATCGGACTGGAGACCGTCGTTATAACCCGGAAACCAGACGACGAGGATCATTCGGGGCTCAAGAGACGGGGGTCAGTGCAAACGGGGGTTAGTCAGAGCGCCAGAGTTTGCACGATCCTGCAGGGCCATTGTCGCGCTGGCCCGGGTTTAGGTGCAGGATCCTGCAGAATCTTGCAGGATCCTTCGCATTGACCCGGGCTTGGGTGCAGGATCTTGCAGGATTTAGCAGAATTCTGCAAGGCCTGACTGGCCCGGTTCTGGATTGACTGGTGTCAGAAGATCCCCGAATCATTGGAGGAGGGATGGGTTCAGGGGGTGATGCACTGACCACCAATGGCCTACGCATCGCCGATAGGGGCCCGATAGCTCGCCCCGCCCAGGATGGTGCGGTTGCGCTATCGGGGGCCTATCACCGATCTATCGGCGACGTATCGCCGATTTTAGATCGATGTTCCCCACCCCTGAGCCAGTCACCACCTATCGTCGTCCCAGAAGGAGAGCTGCAGGCCTGGATTCGAGTCGTGTGCAGCTTGACTGCTTCAGCGCTCGGTCTCGCAAATGCACGTTTGCTGGCTCAGGGCTGGTTTATGTACGGGCGGAGAGAAGGAGGGGAAGCAGACCATGGGGAGGAATAAGAAGAGGCGAGTGCAAGACAAATGATGAAGAAGCGCACACACGTGTAAGTCGAAGAACAAAGCAGAATGGCACAAACATACTTTCTCGGAGGTCTGCGCGGATGTCTTGGATCGGCGCTGGGCCTCCGTTGCGGCGCCTCCAGCGCGGCTCCTGGCGCGGAGTGCGCCAGAGGAGGGGTGGTCCAGTGCCGATACAAGAAGTCCGCGCGGACGACCGAGAAAGTATGTTCATGCTGTTTTTGGTACCTCGAGTTAAGGCGCGTGGAGTAGCGGCGGGCCCCGTTCCCGTACAGACGATAGCGACAACGACGACGACGACGCCGACGACGACTACGACGACACCGACGACGACTCCGACGACTTCGACGACGACGACGACGCCGACGACGACGATGACGACGCCGACGCCGATGACGACGACGTCGACGACGACGCCGACGACGACGACGACGCCGACGACGACGACGCCGACGACGACGACGCCGACGACGACGACGAAGACGACGACGATGACGACGCCAACGAAGACGACGACGACGAGGGAGGAGGGAAGACGACGACGGCGACAACGACAACGACGAGGGAGGAGGGAGGACGGTGACGACGCGAACGACGAAGAATGAGGGATGACGGCGACGCCGACGACGACAACGACGAGGGAGGAGGGAAGACGACGACGACGACGACGGCGACGAAATAGGAGGGACGACGACGAGACGCCGACGACGGACGACGACGCCGACGACGGAGGAGGAAGGACGACCACGGCGACAACGACGGAAACGACGACGACGCCAAGGAGGACGACGATGACGACGACGAGGAAAGACAGAGGACGACGGCGACGACGACGACGACGAGGGAGGAGGGAGGACGGCGACGACGACGACGACGCAAGAGCGCGCGTGCACGCTTTTGTTGAGAATCCGTGTTGCGAAACCACTTTTTTCTCTGACGTTTTTTGGGTACTCGATTTTGAACGTCTGAAGCCGAAGGTTTTTGAAGGATTTTGGCACGCGCGCGCGACGACGCGCGCGCGTGCACTTCGTCCCATAATTTCTGTTCGCGCTGAGTTGTCCACTCCACTGCTCGCGCAAACGTCCAGCCCGCCCACCCGCAACTTCGTTTGCAGACTTCATGCGGCGGCGATTGCGATGAGTACTTGGCGCTGGCTGGTGCATCTTTTCGGCCGCGCCAGCCCGCGCAGGCGCGCGCGCTCGCAGCGGCCAGGTAGTTTAGCGCGTCCGACGCGGCCGCGGTGGTGCTGGCCGCTCGGCACATCGAGGCAGGCATTTGAGTGCGAGTCGGCGACTCGGGCGGGTGCGGTATCATGGCAACGTCGACAATTGTAGACACGATGATGATGATAGTAGCGATGTTGGTGGCGATGCTGACAGCGACGACGGCACGGCCAGTGACTGCGCTGATGCCGATCACGCCGACGACGATGACGGCGTCTTTCGCGTCGGTGATGAAGGTTTTGATAAGAGTTCGAAATGCGCGCGCGGCAGACGCGCGATCGTGGCTCGCATGGTATTTTTGACACGGATCGCTCCACCCCGGCACGCGCGCCAGGGCGTTCGAACGATGTCGACATGCGCGCGCGAAGCCCGTTAGGTCGTATGTTATGAACTTGTTGGAAAACCAATGGTTTTCAGAACTCGCATGCGCCCGCGTTTTTTTTTTTTTT